TGACTTTGGTGAACATGCTTGAACAACAAAGAATCTAGCATCTGCTTCAATTTCCAAAAATGTATCATAAAAGGAGTCAGTATGCTTATCACTACGTAAATCATTTGAAAACTCTTCATAATCTCCTTTCACGATTGCTGTTGTTCATTTAAGAAAAGTTTGCACGACCATAAAACAAATACTTTTCAGATATTGATTAACATCTTATTTAATGTTGAATAAACGTAATGTCATATAAAACATAGTACTTAGATACTTCGTGCCACATTTCGAGTTATACATTTCAGCAAGATCACCAGATTATCTTGAATTTGACCGAATGTAAAAATGTCGAAAAAAGAATTTTGTAAAAATGTTGAAAAGCAAAATATCGAAAGAAAAAAATGACCAAACAGAGGGAATTATTCAACACATAGTACCATTTTGAAAATCAATAAGCCAACAAACTTAATTCAAATCAAATGTTTATTGTTGAAAAAAAAAGAATACAAGACAAGCTAAGAGATTTTTCGACAGAACAATTTGTTCATATTAAAATAATGTTCGTATTGCTTGATTATACCTTCTTTTTTGCTACAATTAAAAATAAACTATTGAGAAGGTCGGATGTTGAAATAAAATAATTATTATGTCTATCATATAATGTGTCTATTGGACTTTGTAATGCAGTTGTTCGTTTGTTTTTCGGCTTTGATGCGCCAGAAGACCATTGAAGTTTAATACTTTGTGCATGATTTTCTTCAGCTTTCATACAGTTGATCAAGGTCCACACGTTTGGATGATTACAACAAACACGAGAATTCAATCTATTCTGATAACCTACAATTAAAAAATTTCATTTTGATCATTTTACTTAATTAAACGAAACCATCACCTTCACAAACATTATTTGTTCGACTGTCAAAGTCGAATACATTCCATGAATCAATATTTGACATTCAATTACTGTTGAAATACTCCAACAGTTTCATCGTTGGCAAACTAGGTAAAAGATTTGTAACTTCTTGTATCTCATCAAAAGCATATAAAATTTTATCACGGGGCATCAGGGATAACGACATAAGCTTTCTACATAAAGAACGTAATGTTTCATCAATAGTATTTTGATGCTGAAATTCCAGAAACTGAATGTTCCAATATATTCACTGACAAAGATGGCAATAGAAGCAGATGGGTTGAGACGCTGGAAGCTATATAGACCAAATAGAAAAGTATGTTTTTCGATTAACTACAATGATATTTAGTTCATCTTTCAGAGCAGCTATCGAACCAAATTCGAAATCTGTCATAATAACTGAAGGTGAAAAAATGGTTTTTCTTTTCAAAGCAGCATTTTTTAATTTAGCAAAAATGTGTCTATATGTTGAAGCCTTTTCATTCATGAACAAACCAAAAACACACGGTATGCCTTAAAATAAATGAAAAAAAAATTTGAAACCAAAAATAAGCCTTGCTTACAAATATCAAAATGAACGGTATATATTTTAAATATTTGTGAGAAATGCGACGGTTCTTTTTATATGTACCATCCATGTAAATTGTTGATGAAATCAATAATAAATCCAATTGAGAATTACTTGCAAAAAAGTAAAAAACGTTCACGTCTTACACGAGCTTCATCAATAAATAAAAATTGTTCTTTTCCAATAGTTAATTTAAACTCATCAGGTACATAAAAAAAACATGATTGTGATACTGGTGGTATCATTTTACGCAGATTTTTGACAGTAGTTGGATCTAGAAAAAAGAACATACTATCTACTAATTAATGCTTTTAAAATAATTTACATATTTCGTGAACTGTTGAAAATATCGCTATCGCCATTGAATTCATTGTAATTCTTGCATGTGTTCATCGTAAAATTTCCCAATAGCTGTTAACTCATTAATTGCGCATGTTTTTATTTTTTCTCGGGTTTGCTTGATTTGAATAAGCTCAGGATTTGGTGGGTGTGAATGATCAGTTTTACCGCCACACAAATAATTGTTCTTTAAATCAGTATAAATACACACGCCACAGCTTTTAACGATACATATCCAATGATTTTTATACGGTGTTTTTTTGTTGCATTTGTATACATGTTGATTCATTACTAAAAGTGGCTATCCTTTATTCGAGTTAATGAAATTCAAATCATCGCTCATAGTAGGCATCGCTTCGGTGGTGTATACCATCTTTATGTTTTTTCTCGATTAATGAACAACTGACGATTCTTACTATTTTATATCCATTTCATTTTACTAAATAACCAATGATCTAATGAAGGACTGATAAATTTACTATAAGATAAGTAAATATTCATCGTACAACCATGACATCATCATACAAATCTTTCAAAACACTTACTGTTTGAAACTTTTACTTTTTCTTCAATAAATTTTTATTTTGATGTTCTCACTTGCCATACATTAGTTCCCATTTTTTTTTGTTTTCGATATTTTTAACTTTCGACCAAATTCAAGATTACCGATCACCAATGTCAGTTAACCAAAGTTTTTCATGAAAATTTAATTCTTTATTATCAATATCAAGGCGATATTCAAGATTTTACGAGTAGCTTGTATCCGAAATCTTTCTATTTGGGTGTCGATCAGATTTTGCGTTTCTTGACTAATTTCTTTGCTTGTTTAATTTAGGCATGCCAATCTAATCTAGTTGAACTAAAAATAATATTATCTCCAAGAAACAAATATGTTATTGATACATATCGTTATACTGTGATTTTTTAAGAAAAATGTTTTTACAGACCCTTTGAAGGTCGTCTAAAGACCTCCAAAGTATGTCCATTGGATTTGTCATCAGTTTTTACTTATTACAACAAATTTTTATTTGATTTGAGTAAAAAAACGCTTTTTATTTAAAAATGACCTTTCTCTAGCTCACATGATGCGGGTAATAACAATTTTTCTCGACGCAAGAAAGGAAAGAAAAAAACGGATCGTACTTTTGTAAATAATAGTATGGTGCGTCGAATCAGATAAAATATTTACCTTTATTATTTACATAGAAAAAATAGATACGTTTACAAAATCGATCTGTATGGATCACATTCGGTGCGATTCGAAGCGCCATTATCAAACGATTTGCGGTGTTGAAATCGATTTAATAACTTTTCTACACCAAGTTTTTGATGGTGAATCTGAAAAATAAATTTTCAGAAGCTTGCATAAAGAAGAAAATAGGAAATTTTGCGCATTTTGAGAAGTTGTGTTCTTTTTAAAAAATCGGTCTCTTCAATTTTTTCGTAGTTTTCGTCGTGAAAAAAGCATTTCTTGAAGCTAAAAGCTAGTTTTTCATGATCAGCAGCTCACACTTTATCGATCTACATGGAAAAAAGACAAAAACAGTTTACTTGAAATTTGCTATGCCGGCATCTTACAAGAATACAACAAAGCAACGACTTTGAATAGTTCGAAATTTCATATTTTAAATATTTCAACTACTTAATGTTGATCAAGATATCTTTTTATGCTACTGTTTATCGATCCATGTTTCTTTAGACTTTACAGCAAAAAATTATGAATAATTATATTAGTTTCAATGCACTTTGCTCAAGATTTGGTAAAAAAACTTTTTAGATATTATATATCTTGTGTGCCTTATTTTGTAAAGAGCTATCAACGTGGTCTACATGCCATAATCGTTTCTTTCGTTTTGTTGTCTTGCTCGATATAGATCATAACGTGTAATGAACGTCTGACGCTCATTACGTCGCATATTAGAAGCGTTTTCCTTCATTCTTTCGTTTGTTCTTTCGACTATATTCGTCTATATCATGACTCTTTCTTTTCCATTCTGTTATGATTTACGAATATATGAAAATAAAGGTATAACACTTCTTACGTCTTTTGGCCCATCACTACTTACTAACAAAAAAAAATATATTACGAATTTATTCCCGTTACGAAAAGAAAAAATATATTTATTCTTTAACCGAATTAAACCAATCGTTCGATCTCTTATATTACCATTATTACCGAAAGCATAGAACGAAAGTTTGTTCTGAGGACCAAAAAAAAACACAACAGAAAGGTTATCAAAGGGAAAACATGATACTTTTGTATTTTAAAGTACGATAAAGTACGGCAAAGTATTATAAAGAAACTTAAAGTATGTAAAGTATGAAGTATTATGCTTTCCCCTTGAAGGTTATTTAATGTATACAAAAATGTTTATTCTTCAATTCAATCTAACCACACATTCGATCTCTTCAAATTACTATTATTACCAAAAAAATATAATGCAAATTTATTCCCTTTGCAAAAAGAAAAAATATATTTATTCTTTTATCAAATGTAACCAACTGTTTGATTTCCTAATATTACCATTATCACCGAAAACATATAAGGAAAATTTGTTCTGGTATCTAAAAGACACAACAGAAAGGTTATCAAGGCGGACACATGATACTTTTATAGTTTAAAGTACATTAAAGTACGACAAAGTATGATAAAGCATGTTGAAGTAAGTCAAAGTACGATAAAGCAAGGTAAAGTACGTTAAAGTATATGAAATATCATGTTTCTACCTTGAAAGTTATTCACTGTATACAAAAAATATATTTATTCTTTAATTGAATTAAACCAATTGTTCGATCTCCGTTATGAGTCAGGCAATCTAGTCTGTTTAGAGAAAGAGGCTTCACTCTCAACCAATGATCATGCTTGTTAGGAAAAAGAACGATATTTTTGAGAAATTTTTGCTAGTTTTACGCATCAGTTAACACAAGCAAGCGATCGATGGCTATACTATATAAGTGCCATGAAGAAAGTAATACTTTATTCATTCTAAGAGTGTCGATAATAGCAACAAATACCAAACAGAAGAGTCGACGACAACAACTAGCATACAAAACCAGGGTTAGGTAAGTAGTAAAAGAAAAAGATTGCTTGTGATTTCAAGTCTTAAAATAGTATACCAAGCATAGATAGATCCTTCGTGTATCATGCTCCACATTTGGCAAATCAAATTTGTTTGATCACACAGGAGGAAAATCCATAATTTGCCTGATGTGACTTCGAGCATAGATAATGCTTCAACTGCACGAGACGAATTCGAAAACAAATAAAACAAAAATAAACCAGAGTTGAACTGTAGCAAAAAACTAACAAAATTTTGCTTGAATTGAAAATTATAATTCGCACACGGTAGTCTTAGAACTAAGAGCAAAAGAGAAATAAGTAACTCTCTTCGAACTATAACTTATAATTAAGATAGGACTGTCCAATAACTATGATGGAAAGGTAGAATAAAATTTATTCGAATTACAACAATAATAATTCGAATAAAATTATATTTATTTTTCTCCGATAGTTTTATGTGAGAATGCAATAGTGACGATAACCACAGATACAGTTATTGGTCTACTACGATCACCGTATCTAGGGTTATCAGTTTTCATCATTTTTTCACGAAAGACAAGGTTTTGTTGAGCAAATAATGATATTCTATAAAGATTGACGAAGATAAATCGGGTTGAGGAATTCGAATCTGCAATGAATTTCTCAAAATTACGTACTGAATTTTTTCGCTAAAAAAGTGTTTCCTTTTGAGAAAATAATGATTCTATACAAATGTTGATGAATGTAAATTGGGATCGACGAATACCAATCTGTAATGAGTTCCTCAAAAAAATTCATACTAGATTTTTTTCATGAAGGAACCGGTTTTGGTGAGAAATAACAATTTTTTTTTATACATTTTGATAAAAGGTAATCGGGACTAAGGAATCTGTGAATCTGTAATCAGTTTCGCAAAATCTGGTACTTAACTTCTTGCTCAACTTTGACACAATTGCTTTTCCCGTAGAGACAAATCAACTATAACATTTTTCGAAACTGATTGCAGATTCAGATTCTTCCACTCCTACTTACTTTCGTCAATCTTTATAAGATACCGTTATTTTCTCAAAAACCCCTTGTCCTTCGTGAAACAACGATGAAAACTGGTAACCGTAGCTCTGCTTATCCATTTAGATCCGTGAATGATCGACATCTTTGCATCCCTAGTTGTATGACAGCCCTGTACCCAGCATAATTGATAAATGAAATAATTTTTTTTGCTTTTCGCCGAAATCGTTCTTTTATTTTCATGAAATTCTCGTATATATCAGTGTCCGAATCAGTTGCACTGGGTTCAATCGGATCACGATAAAAATAATTGAGCTCGGGTCAGGTCGGGTTGAATCCGGTTCGGTCCATTTTTGAAAAGAGTTTTGGGGCTTCGGGGTAGATTTGCAATCTGAACATTTTGCAGATACAAAAAGCATCAGGAATGTTTCTTTTTTTCATTTAGAAGTTTTACAATAGAGTGTGGAAATGCTTTGTAGAACGAGAAGTTACGTATCGTTCGATCATTTTGTCTGCTTCGCTGACTTTTCTTTAGTGACAAGAGACAACGATGCCAAACGAGTGTACCACTTGTTCAGTAGTAAAACTAAAGTCGTAGGCTGTATAGATAAGAAAAGAAAGGCACACAAGAAGAAATTCTATCACATAATCATCTTGTCCCAAGTGCAGAATATTGGTACAATATCAAGAACGAAACGAGTTCAAGANAAGTCGAATACATTCCATAAATCAATATTTGACATTCAATTGCTGTTGAAATACTCCAACAGTTTCATCATTGGCAAACTAGGTAAAAGATTTGTAACTTCTTGTATCTCATCAAAAGCATATAAAATTTTATCACGGGGCATCAGGGGTAACGACATAAGCTTTCTACATAAAGAACGTAATGTTTCATCAATAGTATTTTGATGCTGAAATCCCACAAACTGAATGTTCCAATATATTCACTGACAAAGATGGCAATAGAAGCAGATGGGTTGA